TTGTTTTGTTTTGTTTTTTAGAGACAGAGTTTCTCCGTGTAGTTTTGGTGCCTGACCTGGATCTCACTCTGTAGACCAGGCTGTCCTCGAACTCACAGAGATCCACCTGGCTCTGCCTCCGGAGTGCTGGGATTAAAGGTGTGCACCAGCACCGCCCGGCTACCAGCCCTCTTTAGAAGGTGTTGGTTACACCGTGGATGCCTCAAAGGAGACACACACACACTGTGAGGCTTCTCATCTCTAGTATGAGTGTTGAAATCTGATGGTGGTTTTGAAATAGTAAATCCATCTAAAACAAGTGATCTCCTTCAGTGTGGAGAAGTCTCTCGTTCAGGAGACCTGACAGATTATCTCATTCAGAGAGATGACTGTGATTTGGTTCATAAAAGGTGCTGGGATTTTTCTGGAATTTTACCCATACATAAATAATTTTTGCACATTCTAGAGAAAGTTTAGGTTAAACACCAAAGTAATTATAGCACATGGGAGGGGGTAGGGGGAACATTCTCTGTACTCTATTTCACATTGAAACTTTGTGCTAATGGGCACCTGCCAGCCCTCTGCTAGTGATCCTGAGCCTGTTAAAAGCATATCACAATTGGAGGCTGGTCTTGGTGGTGCATGCACACCTTTAATCCCAGCATTTGGGGGCCACCGAAGGTGAGTATTTGTGAGTCTGAGGTAAGGCTTCATAGTGAGTTCCAGGCCAGCATCTTCTGATGCTCTTTACTCTGCCGGCCCTTGCTGTTGAAGGGTGGGCATACATTAGGATTTGACATGGAACCCAGGGCCTGCCTCATGGGAGGCCAGCCTTCTACCATTGCGCTTATACCATTAAGTGACACCCCAGCCCTTAGGTCAGAGTTTGACTTTAGAAGCTGTTGTGCTTTGGAGACCAGACTTGGAGATGTCCTAGAGGGACACATGGCTGAGAGAGACTGGCTGTTGTGTGAACAAAGAGTAGGATGTTTCCTTTAAATCTTCGAGGAAAGAACCAGAGGCTAAAGGAGAGGAAGAATTCGGGGTGATAGGCCTCAGAGGTGTGGGCCCCAGGCCCAGGGACTGGAATCTTGTAGAGCTAGCAGAGAGAGTTCTTCTAGGTCCTCTCAGGATCTCTGTGTTGTTATTTAGGGCTTCTTATTTGAAGTTGAGGGAGTGTAGAAAGGTGGCCATCCCATGCATATTACTGAATTTAGTAGATAACCAAGACTTGTGAGCTGCCGCGTGCATGCCTTTGGGAGCCTGCTGACCCTCGGCCATCACTCAGCCTGCCCTGCCAGTCTTAGTGTTTCTTTTCCACCACCCCATGTTTTGAAGCTGAGCTGCATTCTCTGAAAGCCAGGATTGAAATACTTTTTACAGAAGGGACAAGAGAATTCAGGCTTTGTGGCTGTGCTCAGCATATCTAGGAACAGTTGGTAAGCAAATGAATTTGGCTTGTTCTATGAAAGCAGGCTTTGGGAGGACTGGGCTTGACTGGGTAGTATCCGTGGAACAGTGGTCCACAGCCGCTTTCCACAGTTCACCAGTGGACTCTTTACCAACATTAGTTGGTTGGCTGTACAGACATTTCTGTTTGTGACTTGTAAGTTTAAGGGAATTTGCCCTATAGCCTGTGTTGGAACCTTAGGCTTTCTCATTTGGAATGTCTCTTAAAGGGTGCTCTGCTACAGATGTGCTCTCCTAGCCTGCTGATGACTGCACTGAACTGCCCCGGACCAGGTGGTCCCACTGCGCGCGCGCGCGCGTGTGTGTGTGTGTGTGTGTGTGTGTGTGTGTGTGTGTGTGAAGCCTGTCCCAGATGATGGCGGACTGACAGCAGCAGAGCCATACTGTGGAAGTCCACGTGGCAGTTCAGGAGAACAGAATAGGTTGTCCTTGATTCAAGTTGTTTGGCAAACAGGCAAATTAGAGATATTCACAAGGATACCATGCCCCCTCCCCACCCCCACAGAATTTCTCTATGTAGCTTTGGTGTCTGTCCTGGATCTCACTTTGTAGACCAGGCTGGACTCAAACTCACCGAGATTCGCCTGATTCTGCCTCCCAAGTGCTGGGATTAAAGGTGTGTGTCACCACCGCCCGGCAGGGGTACTCTTTTGAACTAGAAACATTGAATGTGTTTTTCCGTATTTATACAGAGTGCACATAGAGTGCACGTGTCTGAATGTGTGGAAAGTGCCTGAGGCATGTATGTGTTGTGCTGAAATAACCCTCGTTGCCGGGGAGGAGTCCTGAAAGAACCTTAGTGGTGATGTCTCAGGTTTTTACTAGGAAGATGTATTTCTAGGTTTTTACATAATGTTTTAATGTGGGTAATAAAAATTAAAACAAAACAAAACGCAGCTGTACCAGCACAACCCCCAAAGAGCTAGCTAAGCTGAGTAAACCAGGGAAGACAGGGAAAGGAAAGAAGGATGTGTGGGCTTGGCTCCACATAGCTTCTACCCGGTCTGGCACTCACTATGAGAGGAGGACTCTTAACCCAGAGGATGGTGACCTTTAGGCTAGGCCCTGCTCTTGTCCTGCTCTCTGTCACTTGGGGGCCACTTACGTTTCCTACAGCATTATTATCTAGTCAGCCTTGTTGTAGTTGAGAAGGAACATGACAAGGCAGATCACTTATTTATTTATTTATCTATTTATTTATTTATTTATTTTGAGGCAGATTTTCTATGTCAACCCTGCTGTCCTAGAACTTACTCTGTAGACCAGGCTGTTCTTGAATTCACAGAGATTCTCCTGCCTCTGCCTCCAAAGTGCTAACATTAAAGGTGTGTCCTGCCATGCCCAGTGGGTCTTTTACTTATTATTATTAAATTTTTGTTTGTTTGTTTGTTTTGTTTTTTTTCCGAGACAGGGTTTCTCTGCGTAGCTTTGCGCCTTTCCTGGAGCTCACTTGGTAGCCCAGACTGGCCTCGAACTCACAGCGATCCGCCTGGCTCTGCCTCCCGAGTGCTGGGATTAAAGGCGTGTGCCACCACCGCCCGGCTTAAATTTTTATTTATGTCTGTAGCATATGCTTGCCTGGTGCTGAGGGCAGGTGAGGGTGTTGGATCCCCAGAAGTGGAGTTCCAGGCAGTTGTGAGCCATTTTGTGGATGCTGGGATTTGAACTAGGTCCTCTGAAGAACAGCCAGTGCTCTTAAGCACAGAACCACCTCCAGTACCAACAGGATGAATTTTCGATGTGATACAGAGCAGCCTCAGGGTGGGGGTGTGGGGAGCAGGTGTTATAGAGGGATCTGGGCCATTTATTCTTTGTTTAAGGACCAGCTAGTCTATGTTCTTGCTAATGGCTCTGCCATTTTTCTGTGTTAATCCAGGAGGAGTTTGGTTGTCAGAGAATAACAGGAGGTTGTCCATAATTGACTTGAAGCAGCAAACAGTAAAACACTGAGCTCTTCAGCTCCACCTTTCTTGTAAGTTTATCATTTATTCCCAGTGGGTATGAAAAGTAATGAAGTTGTATGGTGCCATTTGTAATCTTAAACTCCAAGGCTTCTACTTGCCTGTAATGTGTCTCCCTTAAGATAAAAGCCACCACTATGGTGGCAACTATTTTCCTTCTGCTGAAGTCATTTTTGGTTTAACTGCTCAGGTGGATTTTATATATGGTGATACTTTATCTATACTCTTTTTCTTCTAGGCTCTGAGAAGTGGAAAACCAAGAAGGTTTTGATGTTTTGTGTGGCGCCTCCTGAATTGGAAACCAAGATGAACATAACCAAAGGAGGTCTGGTGTTGTTTTCAGCAAATTCCAATTCCTCGTGTATGGAGCTTTCAAGGAAAATTGCTGAGTGAGTTCCAGTTTTACCAGTCAAATCCGTATGCACCCTTGTGATATTTTAAATTTGATAATCAGACTACCACTGATTATCAAGCTCAAAAGCATAGCTAACCTGCATATCATCTGAATATACTTGGGGCTACTATATGTGAGTGCCCATAACTCCCGGGCGTGGTAGGCACCACTGTAGATAAAGTATTGAGTCTAGCACACAGGGATGCGTGCAGAATATGAGAATGGTTACCGATTATATAGTTTAGTGTAATTTTTAGAAACTGATTAAACACTTACCAAATCCCTGCTATACATAAAACCTTGATCTGGATGCTGTGAGTTAGCCATGAGCAGGCCAGTCAAAAGCTTTCTTTTCATGTAATTTACATTTTAGTATGGGAGCCAGACAAGCAAGCTAAGACAGCTAGGTAATTTCAGGTGGTAACAAATGCCAGGAAGAAGGCAGTGAGGGCATACAGATGGGGTAGAATAGTGCTCAGGTACCTTTTAAAACTAGGGATGGCTAGGAATTGAGAGACCCAAGCAAAGCATCAGATGAAGGTTGAGGCGGAGCTCACCAACCCTTATGCAGAGAGAGCAACAGGTTCCAAGGTCTGTGGGGATGTGGGCTGTGGAGCATGGAGCACTAGGAAGATGGCCTGGGAAGGAGGAGAGCCAGATTGCAAAGGCCATGGGTGGTCATGGGGTGAGGTCAGGGGTAGGCAACAAACAGAGAGGCTATAATATTTACTTTATTTCATAATTAGAATAACTTACTTTTGTCAACTTAGAAGTCATCTTTAATAGTAAAGATGTTGGGTCTATTCTGTTGCCTTCTCAGCTTTTCCCCCTTTCTCTTCTCTAGGCGGCTGGGGGTGGAGATGGGCAAAGTGCAGGTTTACCAGGAACCTAACAGAGGTGAGCTTCCTTGGACGTATTGTGGATCTACTTGCAGAATGTGGTCTAATGGGTCATCAAGTAATCCTTGACTGCCAGACAGTTAGATTCAGTTATCTAGTCAGTTCTAACAGCAGGAAGTCAGGCAGGCGAGGTGGAGGGTATGATTTTTATTCCTTACTGATACCGTATAGAAGTAACCCTGGTACAAATCACTTGTAGGGTTTAAATGCTGCTTCTTAGGTCTCATTCAATAATTACTGCTTAAGTATGTAACTAGCTGGTCAGCTAGATGGAAATGTTAATTACTTGTTGGTTGAGGTTATTTTGCTGTAGATAACGTGATTAAGTACTGTGTGCCTATATTTTTAGTTGGTAGGTGTGTGGGCATGTGCAGGACTACATGTACACCCATGCTCATCTGTGCCGCATTATCAAACCCAGGACCCTATGCATGCCTGCCTACTGAGCTGTGCCTCTGACCTCAACTGGTTGTTTATTTCCCTAAGGCCAAGGGTTAATGCCTTAAAGTGTTGCTAGGAAATAGTTGCAAGAAATATTATTTAATCTTTGGCATTTCTTTAGAATGGTGGGAATTCTTAGTGAACTTTTTCTAGTAGGGGTAATGGACACCTTATATGGACATGAGAATCTTACTCCTTATCCTTGGCCAGTAATAAATGGGATAATCTCTGTACTTGACATCATCTTTTGACACATAGTAGGTGCTCAGTAAACGCTCGTTCTCTCTGTGTTCACTACAGGATTTTGTCTGGTATTTAAATCTTAAAGAACTCTCACCAGTACTGCTGCTGCCTCTCCTCTAGTTTTCCTAAGATGGTGGCTACAGGGCAGAGCATGATTGAAATCGGGGAGGTTGTCGTCAGGGAGACTGGATGAGGGAGAGCTGTGGGAGGATGGGGCTGTGGGACAAGGCAAGTGGGTTCAGTCCCCAGGCTTAGGAGTAATGGGATGGACTTTCCTTGGTTTAGGGAAGGGAAACTAACTTCGTTATTCCTTACTGTTCCTAGATATTGAAAACCTGGGTCAGGGATAGATATGAGGTCCCACAAGTAGCAGTACTAGCATTTAGATCCAAATTTCTTGACTCTAACGCTCATTTGTAGCATCATACCACGTTCTTTTGTAAGCACACACATTTTTTTCTAATGATTTTGTTGGTTTTGAATCAGTACCTTACTATGTAACCCAAGCTGGCCTTGAACTCATCATGTAGCCCAGGTTAGCTTCAAACTTGAGATCCTCTTGCCTTAGCCTCCTGAATACTGGTATTTCAAGTGAGCATCACCACATCACCCCCCTCCCCAAATTACTGAGATGGAACACAGAGCCTTGAGCAAAGCATTCTACCACTGAGCTACATCTCTAGCTTGACAACATTTTGGTTTTTTGAGACCAAACACACAGGGTTTCTCTGTTGTTTTGGTGCCTCTCCTGGAACTCACTCTGTAGACCAGGCTGGCCTCGAACTCACAGAGATCCGCCTGGCTCTGCCTCCCGAGTGCTGGGATTAAAGGTATGCGCCACCACTGCCCAGCGCCCTTTTAAGTGAAAGCCAATATTTTTAATGAAAACTTTCAAACATGAGATAATTGAAAAAACAGTACTGTGACTGGCCATATTGATATCTACCATGTAGCTTTGATGTTTTGCTATCTGAATATGTTACTTAATCCCTAGACACCTGGCCACATTGCCTACATGTAAGTTCTTGCACATGAATAAAATACTTTTGTCACATTTCAAGACATTAGCTATAATTATGATTTTTGTTGTTGTTGTTGTTAGTTTTATATGATTCTTGGCTTCAAGTGATTGGATTTTTTTCATGTTTAAATTTTGTTTGTTTTTGTTTGTTGTATTTATGAATCAGGGTCTTACTTTGTGGCCCAGGCTAGCTTCCAACTCTTGTATCCTCCTGTCTTCAGCCTTTTCGGTGTTGGAATTCTAGGCAACCACCACCATGTCCAGAAAGTGATGTGGTTTCTCTTCATGGAGAGCCGGACCACACCTTGCCTTTTCCTACCCCTGTGCCTGTCCGGTCCTGGGTTTGTTCCTTGTTGCCAACAACGGGTCTTGAAGAGCAGGGATAGTCCCTGGTCCTCCTTTATCCCACAGTATACTGCGTTTATGCCTCAGTTCTCAGCTGATGCTGGCTGGATGACTGAGTACATCGTTTCTTGGCAGGGACTGTCCTCAGTGTGACATGGCAGACACTGCTTACATGTGAGGGAGAAGCCTAGATTTGGTTGAAAAGTGTGGCTAGTGGCGAGATGCTTGATGTCAGTGAGTTTTGTTGTTTGGTAGTAGTCCTGGTTTCTGTATTTTACACAGTTGGGAATTAATGAGACTTAGCATTAAATATCTTAAAAATGTGAACTGTATCTTTCTCTCCTTTTCCCTTTAGAAACAAGAGTCCAAATCCAAGAGTCTGTGAGAGGAAAAGATGTATTTATCATCCAGACCATCTCAAAGTAAGTGGTTTCTCAATGCCTCTTGGGTGTCGCTCTTAGAGTCTGAAGACCTGGCCACACAGGGGAAGTTAGTTATAAAACTGGTGTGCTTTTGCTAGTCTTTTGGGCTTTCTATTTATTTATGTATTTATTTTTATGGGTGTCTTGCCTGCATGTTTATCTGTGCACTATATGAGTGCCAAGTACCTGCAGAGGTCAGAAGAGGGCATCAGATCCCCTGACACAGGCGTTAAAGATGGTCATGAGCTTCAATTTGGAAGCCTCCAGATCTAGTGGAACCTGAGCCAGAGCAGTACTACATGCTCATGGACACTAGGAGAGCCAGTGAGCCGTCTCTGCAGCCCCCTTTTGCTAGTTTTTCTAGTGAAACTGCAGACTTTCTTCCCTTTTGATCCTTTCTTCATTTTGTTTTAAACCCTTGCTTTGTTTCCAGGCCAGCCCCAGACTCTTGTTCTCCAGACATCTGCCTGGCTCTGCCTCCTGGGTGCTGGGATTAAAGGCAAGCGCCTCCACTGCCCGGCGAGTAGAGGCTCTTAATGACAGAACCTATATAGTTTTTCTAGAATGAAGAATCAAGGCAACTGGGAGGTGGTGGCGCACACCTATAATCCCAGCTCTTGGGAGGCAGAGGCAGGCAGGTCTCCGTGAGTTCAAGGCCAGCCTGATCTACAAAGTGAGTTCCAGGACAGTCTACGGAGGGTACACAGAGAAACCCTGTCTAAGAATCAAGTTGGTGCTTAGGTTCTGTGACAGGACTGTTATCAGCTCTTTGCCAGGCCCTTATTCTTCTAACCAAATCTTTCCCTCTCCATGTGCTCCATTGAGTTCTCAGTCTTCACTGGGTTGCAGAAAGCCTGCTCATCAGGATCGTCTCTGAGATGCTGGGGAATAGACTGAGGGTTTGATAGTGTCCCGTTCAGCTGCTGCTGCCTTGTGTTGGTTGGTTAACTGCTGATGGATTCCTGGCAGAAGTAGGCTCAGACTCAGAGCCTCCTGTTGCTTGGCAGGCACTGTACCACTAAGTTATACTGCGCCCTTGCTTCATTTCGGTACAGACTAGTGTAAGCTACTAAAAACCTAAGACAGACTTGAACTGACATCTTCCGGTCATCCATTTGCTTATCTGAGGTAGTGGTGGTAAACTTGTTGGTTCTCCTGATGGTTGGCCTCAGGGTGATTGCTTGTTGCCGTTCCTCTGCTTACTGTTCCTCACAGAATGCTTTTCTGACAGTATTTTAATTCATCTGGCATCGGATTTGTTCAATTATTAACAGTATTTGTTGAATATTTTCAATAATTGGGGGCCTGTTACATGTGTGAAGTGCTTTCTTGCTCAGAACAGTTGATGATCTAACGAGGAAGACACAGAACATGATGAGTCAGATGAGGTAATACATACCTGTAACCCCAGCACTCGGAGGCTAAGGCAGGAGGATCGTTAGTTCCTAAGTGGCATCATATACAAGGTGTATTTGTCCTGTAGCCCATAGGTCGTAGGCATCCATGGCCCAACAACGTTTGTAGATGTCAGTATCCTGTCACCGTGCCAAAAAGTTGGCAATCCCTGCATGCTGAGACTTTCTCTCAAAGAAAACAAAACAAAAACCAGAATTGGATAGATTATCATGTAGACTGTAAAATAGTAAGTGCTATGTGACATTAACGTGAAATGGGGAGTACTAAGACTAACTCACTGGGAGAGGAATTGTCTTGCATCTAAGTTCGCTGGGCAGTCGTGGCGCACACCTTAATCCCTGCAGTCGGGATGGTAGTAGTAAGAGGGTAGCAGGACAGACAGGGCAGGCCTCAGTGAAGAGGAGAGCAGGGGTGTCTAAGGACAGCATGTGGAGCAAGTGTCAAGGTGAAGAGGTGAGAACAGATCATAGAGGGGCCTGGGAGGTGCTTAGTGCTGGGCCCTGGCTGTGGGTAGAGTGGGAACCATTTCAGGGCCTTAACCTTTAAAACAAGCTGCTCTGTTTGGAGTGTAAACTGAGGGCTTCAGGGGAGCAGCAGCAGGCCACTGTCACCCAGTGGGGGTAGTAGTGGCGTGGTGAAGGACAAAGCCACGTGCAGAGAGGAATGTAGCCACCTTGAACTCGGTCCAGAGTAGCCCGAGCAACAGTGGCCAGTGAGGTAGTGGTGCAGGTTTTCTGATGATGCAGGCGTTTGCAGGGGAGAGCGGGTCCTTTAGTACAGGTTAGATTTCCACATTCAGATGGGAGCGTTAGCACCAGCCAGGAGATTGCCTTCAGAAGGGATCTCGGGCGAGAGATAGGTCTGTGATAGTGTTGAGCATTTACAGAGCTGAGAGATGAAGGGACAGGAGGAGACAAATGAATGTGCAGGAGGTGTGGGAACCAAGGAAAGGATCACAGGAAGCAGATGTAGTGTCTTAGTTGGGGTTTCTGTGGCTGTGAAGAGACACCATGACCACAGCAACTCTTCTAAAGGACAGCATTTAATTGGGGCTGGCCGACAATTCAGAGGTTTAGTCCATCGTTATCATGGCTCAGGAAGCATGGTGGCATACAGGCAGACATGGTGCTGGAGAAGGAGCTGAAAGTTCTACATCTGGATCTGCAGGCCGCAGGAAGAGGTTGAGACTCAAAGCTCACCTCCAGTGACATGCCTCCTCCAACAGTGCCACACCTACTCCAACTAGGCCACACCTCCCAATAGTGCCAGGCCCTGTGAGCCTATGGAGCCATTTTCATTCAAATTACCACAAGGAGACAGAGGGACAGAGCATCTCCTGTAGGCATGGACATCTCCTGTAGGCACAGGTAGGCGTCTACTGTAGGCACAGGTGAGCAGCAGCCTTAGAGGCAGCAGAAAGGCTGGGAAAGAGAAAGACTAATTAGCCAATGGATTTAGCCAAATGTCAGAGGCTTTTGATGAAAGTTGGACAGCTGTTTTGGAGACTAAAGCTTCTTTGGCTTGTGCATGAGAGAAAAAGAGTGGAGAGTAGGAGAGTGGGATTGTAGATGTCTCTCTTGAGGGAGGAGGGATGAAAGATGGTGGTACTGGTTCTCTACAGAGCATATTGGGAGGAATTGCCCCTAGAGTGTAATTTTAGAGTGATCCAGAAAGTTCCTCTCTGCTGCCCAGTAGCTGAGTGCGTGTGGTACAGAAAGCTATCTTCTGATCGTCTCTTTCAGTGAGAAAGTGGAGCTCTTTGAGAAGAGGGAATTTGTCCATTTTGTGTCTAATGCTTTAAGTCTTTTATTACAGTCATAACTAAGATACTAAGTGTCTAACACTGTCCACGGGTTTCAGGGATGTGAACACCACCATTATGGAGCTCCTGATCATGGTGTATGCATGTAAGACCTCATGTGCCAAGAGCATCATCGGCGTGATCCCTTACTTTCCTTACAGCAAGCAGTGCAAGATGAGAAAAAGGGGTTCTATTGTCTCAAAGTTGCTGGCTTCCATGATGTGCAAAGCTGGTAAGAATAACAGGTTGAGTTTGTTTGTTTGTTTGAGACAGAGTCTCTTCATGTAGTCCTGGCTGTCCTGGAACTCACTATGTAGACCAGGCTGGCCATGGACTCAGAAATCTGCCTGCCTCTGCCTCTAGAGGAGGAGACTAAGGGTGTGTGCCACTATGGCAGATTTATTTTTACCTTAGAAATTTCAAAGCATTCTCTTGACCAGAGTTCTGAACAGAGTACAAACAGTGAAACAGCTTTTAAAGATAGATAGTTTATACAGTGGACCCCCTTTCCCCAGGAGAGGTGTGCTGGCCCTGCAGTACTGCAATTGTACGTTTCTCATCCCAGCTGAGTGGCACATACAACACCAGTACCCTGTCCTGGGGGAAGAGAAGGACATCACAAGACTGGTCACATTATTCCTGGTGACATGAGGTTTGAACTTATCAATTATTCTCCAGGCGGCAGTATCGAATGCCTTTAAGTCTAGCACTCAGGAGGCAGAGGCAGGGGCATCTCTGTGATTTCGAGGGTAGCCTGGTCTACAGAGTGAACTCCAGGACAGGCACCAAAACTACACAGAGAAACCCTGTCTCGGGGGAAAAATTGTTTCTTTCTGGCACTTCTCATTAAGTGTTTTTGAACCATGGGTATCTGAAATCATGAAAAGCACACTACAGGTAAACTAGCGTCTGGTTTAATTAGAAAAATGCAGAGAATTCTGCCTCCAACCCCTAAGGCACAGAAGTAATGAGAACAAGTTCTGTTTCATTTTTTTCCCTGAATTCCTTGTTTAACATTTGTGTTGGCATGGCAGTTTGAGTCATAGTCAAGTTTTGAAAGGGGAAAAGGCTGTCATGTCTGCAGCCCGATAGTTCTCTTTTTAATTTTGTGAGAAACCTCCACATTTGAACCTTACTGCTAGACTCTAGTACAGGAGCACACACATACAGTAAAGGGTAGGAGCCACGTAGGAGAGAGGACATGCATATTTGTCGTTCTGAGCCTGGATTACTTTGTTCAATATAATTTTCAGGGCCATTTTCCCACAAATTTAATTTTTCTTTACAGCTGAATAAAATTCCATTGTGTATATGTGACAATTACATTAGCTATTCATCTTTTGGACTTCTAGGCTGATTCTGTTCTTAGGATGTGAATAGAGCAGCATTATATATGGATATGCAAGTATTTCTGTGGTAGATCATACCTGCCAAGAAGAGGTTCAGCTGGGAGAGATGGTAGTTCTTTCCTTTTCAAATGTTTGTCCGTGTTTTAACTACATGTCACATCTGTGTACCACATGTTAGCAGTGCCCTCGGATCTGTTGGGTCCTCTGGAACTAGAGTTGCAGGCTGCTGCCAGCTGCTATGTGGGTGCTGGGAACTGAACCAAGTCCTTTGGAAGAGCAGCCAGTGCCCTTAGCACCTATATCATCTCGGCAACCCTTGGTAGTTCTGTTTTTAATTTGTGAGAAATCTCCACTGTTGTTTTCATGGCGGCCGAATCAGTTTGTACTCCCGATCAGTGAATGGTGTTTCTCTTTCCTGTGTCCTTGACGGCAATTATTGTTACTGTTTCCTTGGTGATTTCCATTCTAACGAGGGTGAGATTGAATCTCAAAGTAGTTTTGGGGGGATCTCACTAAATAGACTAGGCTGGCCCTTAAGCAAACAGTTCAAGGGATTAAAGGCATGCCTCACCACACCCAGCTCAAAGTAGTTTTAATTTCTCTTTTCCCTGGTGACTCAAGGTGTCAAACACTAGAATATCTGTTGTCCATCTACATGACTTCTTTTTTTGTTTGTTTGTTTGTTTGTTTTTTGTTTTTTTCGAGGCAGGGTTTTTCTGTGTAGTTTTGGTACCTGTCCTAGATCTCACTCTGTAGCCCAGGCTGGCCTCGAACTCACAGAGATCTACCTGCCTCTGCCTCCCAGAGTGCTGGGATTAAAGGTGTGTGCTACCACCGCCCGGCCTCCATGACTTCTTTTGAGAACTGTCTGTTCGGTTCATTAACCTTCTGTTTGATTGGCAGCTTGGGAGCTTGGTTTCTTAGGATTTTGATTGGTTTTTGTTTGGGGTTTTTGGTGTTCAATTTGTGCATTTCTTTTATTCTAGATAGCACCTCCCCATCTGACATGTAGATGGCAAAGATTTTCTCCTATAGGTTATTTGTTCATTACACAGCCTAAGTATTTTATATTTGTAAATACTTAGATAGTTCTCATTGTAAGTGTCAGACTTCTGTGCCTGTGTGTTCTTGTGTGTGAGTGTATATGATTAGAGCAGGAACACATCACAGAAATTTGCGCACACAAAGGAATGACCTTCCCCAGGCCACTGCTTCCTATACCTACTATAGAATACGTTTTCCAGTGTAGCTGTGCAAGGAAGGCAGAAACAAAACACAGCTTAAAAAACCATAAACTCCAGCAACCTCGGCCATGTGGAGCGTGTTATCACTGCCGTGACAAGTAGCTGACAGAAGCCGCTTAAGGAAGTAGCCGGACCTTGATGCAAAGCGTCATACTGCAATGGAGTCAGGAAGGAACGTGATGAGTGCTGGCCTCGGCTAGCTTCCTCCTTGTGCAGCCCCAGACACCAGCCCAGAGTGTTCTGTCACCCCATTTAGTGAGTCTTCTTGCCTCGGTGTAATCAAAATAACCCTCAGAGGCATGCCAGAGGCTAATCCCTCACATGTGTGTCTCCACGGCTTATCTCCCCAGTGATTATAAATCCTATCGAGTTGACAGTGTTAACTACTGAGCCCCTACAAAACACCGACACAGTGTGGGTGAAGGCTCCTGGTCTTGGTAGCTCATGTTGGGTCTTGTCATCTGGAAACTTCTGGGACATGCCATCTGCTGTGACAGCACTTTCAGTAACACTTCTTTGTTATGATTCCAATTTTAGCATGTGTTGCCAAAGCGAGCATCACTTCTTTGTTGTTGTTACTATGTCTATATGTGTAGGCTGCTAGAGACCAAAAGAGAATCTCAGCCTCTAGAACTGGAATTAATTACAGGTGGTTGTAAGTCTCCTAGCATGTGTGCTGGGAACCAATCTCACATCCTCTGCAAGAATTACTTACTGAGTATCTCTCTAGCCACTACCGCTGTACTTAAGTGGAAGTGAAAATCATGCATCTCGTATTACTAAAATTATGAGCCGTGGAGGTGCCAGATTTTCCTGTAGGAGAGTGCTTGCTCAGTCACTGTTACGGTATTATGGTACTGTTAACATGTTTTAACTTGCTTATATTTGAAGGTCTAACTCATCTCATCACTATGGATTTACACCAGAAGGAAATTCAGGGCTTCTTCAATATTCCAGTGGATAATTTAAGAGCATCCCCCTTCCTCTTACAGTATATTCAAGAAGAGGTAAGCTAGATCTATTTTTTAATGTTAATATTCTGGGATGATATAGTTCTGTCTCTTTGGGTTTTCCTAAAGGACCAAAACTTTATGTATTCTGTTTAAAGATCTATTATACTTCATAAGTGCAAGTCTCTAAAATCTCATATCAGTATTTTTTTTCCACTCAGCTTTTTTTATTTTATTTTTTTTTTTTTTCTAGGCGGGTTTCTCTGTGTAGCTTTGCGCCTTTCCTGGATCTCGCTCTGTAGACCAGGCTGGCCTTGAACTCACAAAGATCCACCTGCCTCTGCCTCCCAAGTGCTGGGATTAAAGGCGTGCACCATCACCGCCCACTTTTTTTTTTTTAAATCAAATTTTTATGTTTGATTACCCAGGCTGATCTTGAACTCTGGGAATTAAGTAACCTCCTGTCACAACCTCGTGAGTGTTCACATTGTACCTGGCCATAACTTCCTATTTTTGTGAGGTTGGCCCTCACTGGTAGGCCAGGTTTGGGTTACTGCACTTGTTGGCCTAACACTTGCATACAGCATTCTGGGGGAATTGGCGCTCTCCTCCCAGACTTGCTCCTCATTAACTTCTTTCTCCCGGTTAGCCAGCTCCTGAGCTGTTTATTTGGACTAATAGTTCTTCCTCCTAGGTTTCTTCTTGGTCTTTCTCCTCAAACCTTGATTTTTCTTTATAAGATTTCCTGTTTTGCCTTCTGAAGAGACAATCAGTCTTTTTATTAGAGTCCTTTGGTTTTATTAAATGGCTTTGTTGGCTGTTATACTGTCTCTTGGAAGGGTGTGATGTTATTTAATGAGGCAAGGAAGTGCATGAGACAGTTGGGAAGACTTCTGGCTAAAACAAAGTACTTAAATGAATACGTTTTTCTGCTTTCTTGCCTGAGAATGGTGGGTGGGTGTGTCTTTCCTCTAATGCCAGTCCAGTCAGCATTTTTGTTCATTTACTGTGTACTTGCTATCTAGCAGGGCTTTGGGTGTGTTAAGATTCACAGTGTTGGAGTTAGAGAGATGGTTTAGCTGATAAGAGCACTGGATGCTCTTCCAGAGAACCAGTTCCCAGCATCCACAAAGGTGGCTCACAGCAGTACCTTTAATTCCAAGGCATCCGGTTTTTTTCTGGCCTCTGCAGTACCAGGCATAACAGTACATAGACATACATGTAGTGGGGAGGTTGCCATGTTATTGTGAGGAAACAGCAGTGGGAATGGTCTTCAGTGGAATAGTAGCACTTAATGAGTTGGTTGTGTTTCAAGAATATAGTTAGAAAATACTGCCAAGATGAAATCAGAAACAGCAAACTGATGGTCAGCTTAAAATTGGTTCCATTCCATCCATACGAACACAATAATGACATCTTCCTTTTCGTCATTAACACTAAGTACTTAATTTTTCAACAGTGAAAAGGTTCCTACAGTGGCTGATTATTTAGCTGATTATTGGTTTTTGTTTTATGTTTTTTGAGACAGTCTCATGTAACCTAGTCTGGCCTTAAACTATAGCCAAGGATGGGTGGCCTTGAACACTTGATCGTCATGCCTCTGCCTCCTGAGTACTTGGATTGTGGACATGTACCACTTCACCTTGCTCTAGTTAGTGTTTCTTTTAAGTGGTTTGTCTGTTTGTTTGTTGACAAATCTTACTATGTTGACCAAGCTGTTCTCAACTCACAGAGGTCAGCCTGCCTCTGCCGAACACTGGGATTAAAGGTGCCACCACACCTGTCTATTGCTTTGTTTGTTTGTTTGTTTGTTTGTTTAAAGAGACTCACTTTTATTTTAAAGTAGCACTAGGCTGACTGTCCTTTCACAAATGGCTTTCCTCATCATGGAGTGGCTACCATGTGTTTGTCACCTGTTTAAACCACAGTATTTTAGAATATGACATGAGCTTGGATTCGGGCTCAATGAATATCATCCTTGCATTGTGAAATTACATTCAATGTGGGATTCATGAAAAGACTTTATTTACTTATTGAGACAGGTTCACACCATGTAGCTCTTTTTTTTTTTTTTTGGTTTTTCGAGACAGGGTTTCTCTGTGTAGCTTTGCGCCTTTCCTGGAACTCACTTGGTAGCCCAGGCTGGCCTCGAACTCACAAAGATCCGCCTGCCTCTGCCTCCCGAGTGCTGGGATTAAAGGCGTGCGCCACCAACGCCCGGCACCATGTAGCTCTTAAACCCAGCCTCCTAGGTAATTGGGATTACAGGCACATACCACCACAGCTAGTTTGCTTCTGTTAATCTTTTGTTTTGTTTTAGGGTGTGTGTGTGTGTGTGTGTGTGTATAGTATGCATTTGTGTATATGCACATGTTGGTGTGAATGCACATGTATGTGGAGGCCAGAGGTCAGTTGTCAATGTCTTCCTCAATTCACTTTGCTTTTTGAGGGCCTCTCACTGAACATGGACTTGATTGCTTAGCTAGATTGGCTGGCCAGGGTGCTTTAGAGAGCTGCCTGACTCCACTTTTTACTCCCCGCCTCCCAGGGCTGGGGTTATAGACACAGGCTGCCATAGCCAGCTTTTGTGTGGGTGCTGGGGTGCCAAGTTTGGCTCATCATGCTTGTACAGTTTATTGACTGAGCCTCCTCTCCATTCTCTGTTAACTTTTTTGGTTTTTCGAAACAGGTTTTCTCAAAAACCTGTAATTTTGTTTCCTGTCCTGGATCTCACTCTGTAGACCAGGCTGGCCTCGAACTCACAGAGATCCACCTGGCTCTGCCTCCCAAATGCTGGGATTAAAGGCGTGCACCACCACCGCCCGGCTTCTGTTAACTTTTTAAGAGCACATGTTACTACATTACTGGGTTTTTATATATAGGTAAATTCATATTGAGAACATTTTCACCTTTGTTTCCCAAAGAGAGATTTTACTTTTAACTTTTTCTTATTTGGTGAAACTTCTAAATGACCAGATGACAATTTCACGTCTGTTGGAATGTTTATGTTTGTTGGTTGTTGGAATGTTGGACCCCAAAATCTAGGGTCTCAAGTGGGCACCCCAAGAACCCAGACTCCAGTCCAGTTGATGCAATAGCATGAGGAATTTATTGAGGTTTCTATGCAGAAGGGCAAACTCTGTTCCTAAGAGCAAGAGTCGCATCTTACTGCAGCCCCAAAAGGGCTTTTAAAGGAAAAACCCACAAGATTACAATTCCCATACAGTTTTGTTTCACAAGATAATGGTCTGATCACAGAGTGATCACAGAGGGGGTACAGTTACGTCAACAGGTACATTCTTCCTGAAACCTCAAG